TTTTTCCACGCCACACGTGCAAAAACTACCCAAAAAAAGGTGCGTTTTTCCACGCCACACGTGCAAAAACTACCCAAAAAAAGGTGCGTTTTTCCACGCCACACGTGCAAAAACTACCCAAAAAAAGGTGCGTTTTTCCACGCCACACGTGCAAAAACTACCCAAAAAAAGGTGCGTTTTTCCACGCCACACGTGCAAAAACTACCCAAAAAAGGTGCGTTTTTCCACGCTACACGTGCAAAAACTACCCAAAAAAAGGTGCTTTTTTTTCCCACGCCACACGTGCACTCACCATCCCCCCCAGCAGGACGTCCTGGTCGTCGGCCAGCACCAGGACGATGTTGCTGGGCTTGGCTCCGTCCGCGCACCTGACGCAGCAGGTGAGCAGCGCGTGCATTGCGAGCAGCGCGAGGACGGGCGCGCGCAGGCCGAAGGAGGCTGCCCCCCCCCGGGGACCCACCGCCCCCCCCCGGGGACCCGCTCCCTGGGGACCTGCCATCGGTTCCGGACCCCCCGATAGGAGCCCCCTGCTCAGCCGCTTTTGGAGCACCGGGACGCGGGCAGGTCGAGGCGCGCGGAGGGCTGAAAGTGTTTGAGGAAGTGGAGAGAGGAGTCAGCGGTCATATGATCAGAAAGAGGGGGAGGAGGGAGGAGAGGGGGGGGGAGGAGGGAGGAGAACAGAACACAGAACAGCGTGTTCAACACGAGGACTTTTACACAACTCAAACACATGATTTTCTCCCATTAAACCCTCTGGAACTGCCACTGTGGTTGTTTCCCTGATAAGGAACACAGCTTCCCTATAACATTATATAATAGAACACATCATAACATCATATAAAATATCATCTTATTGCACATAGATACAGTGATGGAAATAAGTATTTGACCCCTTGCTGATTTTGCAGGTTTGCCCACTTACAAAGAATGCAACGATTTATAACTTTAATCATATGTACATTCTAACAGTGAAAGACAGAATCCCAAAGAAGATTCAAGAAAATCACATCATATGAATTTATAAAAATTGATAACCATCTGATGAGGAAAAATAAGCATTCTTTGTAAGTGGGCAAACCTGCAAAATCAGCGAGGGGTCAAATACTTATTTCCCCCACTGAAGATAAATAAGATAGATTTTATTTAATTATTTATGAATACTAACTGGTTCCTCGCCTTTAACAAGCTCTAATATGCCTGTTAATACGTTAGAGTCAAACTAAAATAAAAACTGATGAGGTGTTTTACCATAGGGCCAATGCCAGACCACCTAAGACCCCATCACAGGCCCTTTAGCCTGATACTGGAAGTAGTTTTTTCTGGATATACTGTATATACTTTCCCCCTCATCTTTTTACAAAAAGTACAGTATGCGTCCACCTTTGTCAGGTTGGTTAAAAAGATTTGGGTGTGCTGGTTGTAGTTCCTGTTTCGCAGCACAACTGCAATGTTGTGGTTGCAAACAGTCGTCAAAATTGTGGTTTTCTTTGACTCAAAGATTGAAAAAAAAAAATCCCATAGACAAAACTACATATATATCACTTCCTAAATTACTTTTAAAATGAAATAATTAGTTTTATTTTAGTTAATATACATAGCTATTCCATTCATAAGTGTTTAAGATAATACATTATGGTGACTTTATGATACTTAAGTGATTTTTAAAATCTATTTAAACTTTTTTTTTTTTTTTAGGCTAAACGGTTAAACGTCTGTGTCTCTGTTTCCAGCCGGAACTATTTTGGTGTCGCTCCCTCCCCGGTGTCACACAGCTGCGTCCGGTCGCTCTCAAACTCTGAAGTCTGTCCCAGTTTCTCTCTTTCCCGCCTTTATTAGCAGCTGCTGTCGGTTATGAGACGCACATTCAAGCATCTGCCTGTTTCTAAAGGGAAATTAATGTTTCTGAGAGCTTGACGGGTTATTCTGGGAGGAATGGTGCCGTTAAAGCGACGGAAAACCGCCGCTGGGAACCCCGGAACTGAGAGTAGGGGCCAAAATAAGTTCCCCCTGGTCGTCGTTTTCCTCTTGGAAAGAAAAATGGGAGCCAGTCGAAGAGCTTTTCTATCTCAGTTGGGACGTAAAAAAGGATTTCAGGTGGAGGATTTGTTCAGGTGAGAATTTATAGCTAAATTAAGGAAAAAGGCATCAACCTGTTTGGGAAGCTGATAAAATGCATCCCAAATAGTGCAAAACATGTAAAGTCAGTCATGTAAATCTAGATCTAAAGTGTGTTTATTGTTATTTGTTTGCTCACATTTGAAAACAGTTTCTATGTGACGTAATTTGATTTAATAATCAAGTAAAAGTTCATTAATTTTTTTTCTCTGGTAATTTTTATTGTTAGTTTTTGCATTAATATTTTGTTTTTTATTGAATTTTTATGGCCGCTAATTCTATTACCATCTGAATTGGATTTCCCCCCCCCTTTTTTTGACATTTTTTAGGATTTTATTATGCTTGATTAGGATTGATAAAGTTTATCCAATCTAAAATTCACTTGTGTATATTTTGAACTTGACCTCTTTTGCTTTTTGTTGCTCCAGAAATACATATTATAATAAGTTTTTGTGCACTTTAAAGTTATTTTGAACTACTTATGTTTGCATTTCAACCTAAAAAGATGTTTTGAAGTATAATTTAGTGAAATGAAATAGAATTTAATTACAGGATGTATATATTTCAATACGTTTTTGAGTTACTGTGCACTTTAAAGTTATATTTAACGTCTTACAATTGCATTTCTACCTAAAAAGAATTGTTTATATATGTTTTTGAGACACTTTTTAGCATAATTTAGTGAAATAAATAGAATTTAATTACAGGAAGTATATATTTCAATGTATTTATGAGTTACTGTGCACTTTAACGTTATATTTAACGTCTTACAATTGCATTTCTACCTAAAAAGAATTGT